AAACTGATTTTTCCGCGTTCGACTTTTATTTCACAGTTAACAACTTATTTACAATTTTCCAACTTCTTTCGAGTTAGTTTTTTGATATTATCATTCTACATACCCTTCACCGTCATAAAGTACAATAAAATGTTAACTGATATTTTTTTAAGTCTTCGGGGTTTATGAACTAATTTGACAGGTCTATTAGTTCAAATAAAATATTTAAATCATTGTAGAAGTTTTTTTCCAAATAGTTATTATACTAGTCGGATTAAATTTTTAAGTTTATTCCAAGTGTCGTTACGGGATGTTTTTAAGTCGATGCCATAACTTCAAGTAATTGTTCCCTGAATGATTTTAGAATAAAAGTCCATTGCTTTTGGGATACAGGGTGTTGAATTTTATTAAAAATGTCACATATTCAAATGCCTCTAAAGATTTGTGGTCCAGGTTAATGAAACTGAGGGTAATTATTTATCTAATTATTGACAAAAAAAATTAACTGAATTGGTATAAAAATCAGTCAATTTCTAGCATTACTGAAAAGCACTTTCAGTAAAAACTAATACAATTTCAAGGAGTCTGTTATTTTATTTAATAAACTTAAGATAAGCTTTCCAGTTAAATAATTTTAAAAGATTTATTGTCTAGAATGAACGGACTGTATGCTTCTTCTAAGAATATTCTCATATACAAAACTGAAATACGGCGCAACCACCAAAGTAAAAAAAAATCGCTGTTGTAGGTATACATTTTTAATGATCTTAGAAATAGCTTTAAAAAATTGAAAATTTCTACGCTAATATGTTTTTCGACTCTTGATAATTACACTGTATTTAAAATTGTGACAGAATAATTTTAAATATAATATTTTAAATTTATTTAGTTTTGTAATAAACAAATATTAAATCTAAAAAATTATTAAAAAATGGAGTAAGTGATTTTTTTTTTTTGAAGTAACATAAGAAATTAAATACACGTTTCAATTTAAATCACTGAACTGATTGAATTTGCAAACAAGTGGTGTCGAAGTTCTAGAGTTCTTAGTGGCTGTGTCAGTATATCCACCACTACTCGACAAACTTGTATAGATACCAATTTGGTGAATCTCTACATTTAATTAACCAAACCATTAGTTACAGCTTCCAAAATAATTAGATAATTACATGTGTTTAAAATTATATTTAACTGGTGTTGAAATTTTGGAGTCCTTAGTGACCGTGCCTTTCAGTATGTCCACCACTGCTTGACAAACTTGTATACGAGTTTAATAAATATTTTCTTTTAATTAACTAAATCATTAGTTTTATCAGTCTACATCAACTATTTTCAGAACTATCTGAATAAATATAGTATTTTTAAAATTTCAGCACCCTGTATATAAGAATTAGTAGCTTTGGAGCATCTATTGAGTTTTTTTGGTCTAAAATAACCCAAGGAACAACCAGCTAAAGTTATACCTACACAGACTTAGAAAACGCACTTTATATTTTTGTAATCAGCTAATTTAAGTGATTTTGAAAAACCAAAGTTTCCTAAAAATAGTATTTTGACATATTAAAACTTTGTGTCTTTTTAAAAATTTAACTAGAATGTAGAACAATTTGTATCTGCTTTTTAGATAATCATTGCGAAACAACAGAACAGAATATCGTTTATATGAATTTTGAAAAGCCAAAATACTCTTAATCCCCACCAAATGGAGGCAATAAATAATTTTTTGGTGGTAATGATAAATTTGACAGGACAGAATTACGTTTTATATAAGGACAACAGTTGCCAAAGAGATAAGCAAATTTTTTGTGCGTACTATATTTTTTCTGGTCAAGATACTGTACTATATAAAACTCGAAGACAACAAATCAAAATATGTAATTGCTATTGTCAAACATTTTACATAATATAATTTGCCCATGAGGCTTATAAAATCAAATTAATTGAAATTTATAACTACGATTTATTTTCTATAAGAAAACTGTTCGAGACGGGTGAAATTTTAGAAAAATCGGTTACAAAATTAAATTACTATTAATTATTAAATATCGGTAATACGGGTTGTTAGCTTAATTTTTGTTTTTGATTTTCTCAAAACTGTTGAAGAAAAAATAAAAGTTACAATAATTTTGGAACATTTAGGCATCAATGATTAACACAGCAAGGGGTAGAACCAAATAGATGTAATAAATAGGAAGTCCTTCATTAAGTGCGTATTTTCTAGAGATAATAATGCGAAGTTGCTGATGCATATCGAATTCGATATATTTTTCAGAAATATATTTAGATATCGAATGTCAAACAAGAAGATTTTTCTAATATAAATTACATGCCAATGCATCCATACATAATATTGTAATAGTTCAGGGTTTTATAAATCATTAAAAGATTGTATTAATTACAGCCACTAATTAATAAATTGAAAACAAAGCGTTAACGATCTCTGTGCTATAAAGCCGGAGCCAAGTAAACATGATAATAGTTGACAGGGGATATATAACACAGATATAAAATTATCATGATTATTTGAAAATGTGGCGATTATTATAATGCGAAAATCTAACGGAGCTTATAACCGTGTTAACTTATACATTACAGAACAAATTATATATAGTGTGATATAAAAATTATAAACAAATTATCACAGAGAATTCATTGTCTGATCCAAACTTGTATGTTTATTTATTCCAGCGATGTTCGTGTTGTATCCACGATTTGATTAATGTGTAACAAAATTGATACAATAAGAGTGTCGATACAAGTTTGAACCAATATTTATGTCTAAACAGTTCTTATTACAATATTATATTTAAAAAAATATATTTCTCATATCACATCTAAAAATATATCACACCTTTTTGGCAATTTTTGGCAATGTACTCTGTAAAACCTTTTTTGCATCTACCAATTTGTGACACAATAAATGACTAAGTAAAACATGTCATACATAAATTGTGGTAAATTTTCTATCAATAAATTGTTCAATAAATTAGAGATATTTATTAATTTAACTAGAACAAATTCCTAATAAATAAAGGTTTGTCGCAAAATTCCTGAAACAAGTCAATTTTTATTTTCAATGAGACATATTTCAAAGATGTTAGTTTATTTTTTTAATTATGTGGGGGATGGCAGCAACCCCCAACTTTTTTTTTAAATGGAAGGGTAGGTTGATACAATTTTTTTACGCTTTTTCAGTTGCATACAATTACGTATTTTTTGTTAGATTTTATGAGCACTGTGTCGGAAAAAATAAAATAAGGAAAGGTTTACTGAAACTTCTTTAATGTATAAATATGTTTCTTACTTGATAACCACAACAACAATTTCATACCTTGTCACCTGTTCGATAGTTTTTTGGCCAATTAGAATTGAATGAGTTTGATTTGTTAGTTCTTGTTTGCATTTTCTCGTATCCAAATTTTAATGTTGATTGGATATGGCGACAGAAATCGAATACAAGCTGAAGTCGCTCGTTTGTTTGCTGAAGTTTATCTAGAAATGCCTCCAATTAATCGAAGTACGATTAGCAAAATGGAAACTCGATATATGGACGTGGGCCACGTGAGAGATGCTCCTCAACAAAGGCCATAAAAAATCTGAGAAAAAAACCGGTTGAACATGTTGGAAGTTGAAGAAAATCCTGTTGCAGGCAAATAACTCGCATTCAGGATGTCAGTCACACAAGCCTTTTAAAAAATCTGAAAGAAGTCAAAAAGCACCCATATAAGATGCAAAACCTGCACGAGCTTAACGAAGATGATCCTGATCGTAGACTAGACTTTTGCAAACGAGTTATGACTTCTATCGATGGTGGTCAAATTGCTCTGGAATGGGTCTGCCGTTATTGGGCTGACGAAAATCCCCACTGGATACGTGAATGCCATACTCAAAGACCTCAAAAAACAAACGTCTGGGCTGGAATTATTGGGGATCGCATAGTAGGTTCTGTAGCTTGCAATGAAAACGTAACCGAACAAAAACCTATTTATGCTCCAAGATCAACTGGTTCCTGCTTTAGCGGTTTTATTCCCCAATAATTTGGGTCCTGATTTATTTGACGAAGTGTTTCTGAATAGGTGGATTAGAAGAATATGCCCAATTGAGTAGCCAGCAAGATCACCCGATCTTACCCCATTAGATTTTTTTTATGGAGCTATCTAAAAAGCAAGGTTTATGCTACTAAACCTAACGACATCGACGAGCTTCAAAAAATAATTAGGGATGACATTAGACGAGTAAAGCCAGAAATGTTACAATATGTACGGAATGCTTTTTATTATCGATTAGGGTGTTGTCAGCAACTTTGAAAATTTTTAGTATTAATGTAGTTTCAGTAAACATTTCCTTATTATATATATATTACATAAATAAAAAAATTAACAAACCTCTTTGTAATATGCCCCAGTGAAAATAAAAATTGACGTTTTTTAGAAAATTTGCGACAAACCTTTATTTATAAAGTTACAGAATTTGTCCCAGTTAAATTTTCGACTCTGTATACATATTATTATTGCAATGGAATAAGTCTGGCATAAGGTTAAAGTTTGTGATTTGTTGGCGGTTCTAAGTGTCTCCAATAAATGGGCCAATTTATTTTAACTTGTAAAAAAGTGTCACGATTGCAGCAATTTCTTGATAAATGAAAAACAGGTTTAACATTTCCCCGAAAACTATTAAAAAATATGTTTATTGAATTTTTTCTTTAAGCTGCAAAGAGTTGTATGGATTTCTTGAATATTTTTTGTACATTTTAAAATTTGGGTCTACTTTATCGTTCAACATTAATTAATGTTAATTAGAAAAAAAATAATAAGAAATCACATTTATTTAAATAGTTTCTAATGAAAATTAATTAAAACTATTTAAATATTATTTATCATTACCTTAAAAAAATCAGTATAATGCTAAACTATCATTACAAAACTATAGTACGGAATAGGCATAGCAGCGCTCCTTGTTCAAATTCCTATTATCATCGCAAACTATGCATGATGACTGAAAAGATTTCTCTAACAACTTACCTGACGGATTAAGTTTGTGATTCTCTAAAGACTGGTTCCTAAGATTTTCTTCAACGCTACCGCCAGTCCTTTTTCTCCTCACGCATTTTATCGCGAACATAGCCACAGAACCGATAACAGGGGGTATGCCAGCCAAAATTAGCGGTATAGTAAAGCTGTTGAGGCTGTCCAGAATAACTCCCGCAACGTAAGGTCCAATGGTTAAAGGAATGGAACACACTCCTAGCAAGAATCCTATGGCTTGTGTTGCTCCTTCTCTACCGCAAATGTCAAAAGCTATAGGTCCAAGTAATGAGATGAAGCATCCATCGAAGAGCCCCATTCCCAGTACCATAACGATTAACCAGCCGTAGTAGCCACCGGTGAATGGTAATAGAATGGTCAGAGCTCCTATGCTTAAGAAAGATAGCTGCTGGAGATATATACGATTGACCCTCGGCATATCAGCAACGTATCCAAAAATTAATCTTCCGATTCCAGAGGTGATTCCTATGCACAAAATAGGAAGCTTAGTGTCGGAACCCTTGGGAAAGTTTTGCTCCACGAATTTCAACATGTACACGTACGGAACGAAATAGCCAAACAAGGAAATGGCTATAACACTAGTCCAAATAATATACTTGGTATTAGTGATAACAGTTAAATTGCACACATCCCTAAAGGAGATCTTTTTACTAGAAACGTTGTACTTCACCGGTTTAAACAGAAACGCGCAAATCATGATTAAACCGGATATCATCGCCAACACCCTTAACGTCCAAACTACTCCCAGATATTTCAGCAGGAAGCCTATGAAGTAAGGCATGGCTATGGTGAAGACGGAGCTTCCTGCAGTCACGAAGCCGTTCACTATGCCTAGGTATCTCTTGAAGTAGTGTCCCAGCACTGCCAGGGAGGGGGTGTAGGCCAAAGCACCCCCTAGTCCGTACATGATGCCGTAAGTAATGCAGAGCGCGACGATGTTGTCCACAAAGAACGAGGACAGGAACATGCCGCCAGAAGCGATGGCTCCACCCAGGAAGGTAGTTTTTCTTATTCCTATGTAATCTGTTAGGACTCCGGATACCGGAGAAATAAAGAACGTTGTCCCCATTGCGAACGAGCCGACTAGTGCTGAAACAAATGCAAGAAATTAGTACATTAAGAATTAACTTATTAATACTTGAGATATATTCCTTTGATACACCTTAACTAATACGTTATACTTTTACCACAGCATATACAAATTAGAAAGCACGGATTATAAAGCTTGAGGAGTGACAAAGACAGGTGACCCTACTACTAAGTAGTAGGGTACCCCTCTGTGCAAACATTTTACTTAAGGAGGTATATCAGGTTTACTAAAATGCACAGATGTACTTGAGTTTTATATAGCGTATTACCCAGTGCTCCTTCTGTAACGTCATATTTTTTGAAAATTTTTTTTGAATCTAGATTTTGAGATATTGTTGTTGAAAGTTGTTCATTTTTGTTTTTTCATAGGTTTATTTGGCGAAGATAGACAGTGCGGCTCTTTTTTTGCCCATAACTGAGAAAAAAATGTAGAAATTGTGAAACAAAACTTTTCCATAGATAGTACACAGTATTATCTTATTTTTGATGTAAAGCTAATGTAAGTTTTGAACATAGTACAGCTGTATTAATTAGAAACAGAAACCAATAATTGCATTTCTGTCTGACTTGAAGATTAATATGGCAACGTCGCAATCAGCTGACCGCAAGGAGGGAATACATTTGAAAGACTTGATAAAAACGAAATTGATTTCAAATATATACATTTTTCCTAAATCCCATGTACATTGTTATCAACAATAAATTATTCACAACAGATTATTTTTGTAATGTTTTTAAAAAACTAAATTACATAAAGTTTTCTTTACTTGATTAATATAATTAGTAATAGTTGAGATAAAAGCATTTGTACAGAATAACAAAGGAACATAAATATTTCTCAGCAAACTTTATATCTAAAAAAATAGTTACAGTTGCAAAACTTTTGTAACATTACTAAAATAGAGATGAAAAACACGAACAGTGAGTAATAATGTAATTTCTATCACAGAACCTTCAAAATTGCATCCAACATTTTCTTTGACTTGGACGAGAGATGGGCGCGAGTGTCATTTCATTTCTTTAGAACTAAATTAACATAATTATTTTCTCGTTGTTTTACCAGTTCACATGATTTACGGATTTTAAATAAAAGATACAAATCTTCGCGAGGATACTACGATATATTTGCTATATATAATAATTATATTTTACATAGTTTACACACAATATATTTTTGAACGCGTACGCATCTTTACCCGAATTTGACGCGCAATATCTCCGATGTCCGAGGTCTGTAGGTTGGCAGTGTGTACAACTGCACTCGATTATTAGCGCTGTTGCCACATCTACATAGTATTTATGCGTTCATTAAATATAATTTAAAACCACTTAAATATGATATTTTTAAGTTGTTAATTTTCAATATGTATGTTATGAGCATATTGAGTAGATTTCTTTGCTATATAGATAATGTTTATTGCAAATAATTTCAATAGAATTTAATTTTTTCAAATTGGTAGCGGGATTTAGTCCCATAAGAAAAGCATTGGACCCCTCCTGCGATCCTCACTTCCCTCGGACCCCGATATACCTCCTTAAGTGTCGTAAATCTGATCTTTTAATAAATGTTTTACGTTATATCGCAAACAAGATGGACTTGGTCGAGTTGTACAATTGTATATAAATGCCGTCATGTTCTAAAGAAATAGATATGGAGACGTGTGCAAAAAATTGTTATCGACGACCATCAATCTGTAACAGTGAATTATTATACTGCGTTTTTAAGAATGTTAAAAGTTATCAAGCATTAAGTTCATCCACAAAGATAAACATGGAAAAATCATAATCTGAAGAAGAAATCATGGAAAGATGAAAATACTTTCATCAACAATTGAATGCAGGAAACAAACAAGGAAACAAGGAAACGAATAACAGAACCAACGTAACTCTTAGCAAAGAGAATATAAAGAAATAATTTCAAACTTGAGAAATAACAAGATGCCAGGAAGTAGCAATATAACAGGGGAATGATTTAAACATGGAGGACAAGAATTTAATAACCAATTACAAGAACTGAAATAATAAAATATATTTATATTAATATAAAATACTTCCAATCTACGTAACAGTTAAACTAGTGGCGGAAGCAGAAAATAGCGTAAATAGGTACAAGTACATTAAATCAAGCTTTTACTTTGTGGGAAATACAGACCGAAAATTTTGAATATAGAAAAACAAGTCTAGTTTTATTCATAGATCGGCGACAAGATAAAAAGGAAGGTACTGTATAAACTAGTGGAAAGACTAGGTAAGAAGATATGAAATATGGTTATTCTAACATTAAAAGGGATATATAACATAGTATAAAAGGAAAATTGAACTTACAAAGTCGACGTTAAAAACGGAGTAAGACAAGGAGATCTCTTAGCATCAAGTATTATCTAGTATGGCCCTAGAAAAAGTAAAAAACGAAATGGAGAGATAAACAAATCAGTTCTCTTTTATTACAAGAAAAATCAGAGCTTAGCATTTGCGTAAGATTTCATAGAATTAGCATAGGAGATATAACCGAATTAAAAGAAGTATTCAAAAAGTTGGAAGAACAAACACTAAAGAGGAGCTTGTGAGGGAAAACTAAATACATAGAACTGACAGATGAAGAATATCTAAGAGTCACTAAAAGTGAATACTAATAGAGAAAAATTGAAAGTAGTGTAGCAATATACATGTAGGATGGGAAATATAATGTAGAAAAATATAAATAAATAGCTACCCTAATAACCCTGTATTATCTTAGAGAGAATATTGAAAAATAAGAGCATATCTAGAAACAAAGCTTAGGTTATATAATACCATTATAAGACCTGTTGTTACAGGTCAGTGGATCCTAAACAAAGTGGAACAAACGAGCATGGAATTAAGGGAGATGGAAAATATTTGGAAGAAAGGGAATAGATGAAGGAAGAATTAGAAGAATAAATGAAGAAGTCAGAATAGCTTCATCTACAGCCCTATAGAAACCTGAATTCTCCTCCGTTACGGGTGAATCGGTGAAAGATAAGGACTAAATATCGGGAGGGATCTGCTAGATTAAATCTGTAGATCAATAAAAATTGTTAACACAGTTTTAATAATTAATATACGTTAAATTCATTTTTTTAATTTTTTTATGCAAATTCATACAAAAACTAAATTATTTTGGGTTCCATCCAAGATTTTAGCAATAATTGAAGAAATATATAGATTATTTGATAAATAAATTGTGACGCGACGTATTGTTACCAGGAAATGTCATTATGATGCAACTATATATACTGTAATAGAGATGATTAATTAATTCTCCACTAACAATATGCAAACAACATTTTTGTCCACTTCTTCTTAGTCATCTTCATTTACTTCGTATTAACTCTCATTTTTAGGACCGTTTCATAAATGTAATGCCTCAGAGAGAACTAGACAAAATTATACTTGAAGGAAATTTGGAACAATTGGCCAGGAAAAACATAATTTTTTCGTTTTATACAACTCTCCAAAATGTAGTTTTCATTCTTTTTAATACACGTACTTACCATCAGTAAAATCAAATACATGCAACCTTTTACACTCCATTATTGTGTATATATGAAGTACTAATTGAACAATTTATGTCATTTTTCATGGAAAATGTATTAAACAAATTCCATTTATGAATAATAAGGCATACTTATTGCTTATTGGGTGCAATTTACTATATTCTATACTATATTAGAAAAACTATTGTTTATTTTTTCCTGGGTTGCAAGTTAATCGAGATCATGAATGCACATTGCAATTTTGTAAGCCCCAATAAAATTTCATTAATATTAGGTGGCTTTGGTTACTATTTAGAATATAAATCATTTGACAGAAGTCAACAGCTTTTTTGTTGTTTATTTCCATAATTTTAAAAGCTCTTTGGAATTTTTTGTAACTTATTTAGGTATTGCGTTAATTTTTAAAATGTCATTTCGATTTACCAATGACGAGTACGCAAATATCAATTACTTGTTGGAATTATGCGATAAAATTTTGTAGAGATTTCTAGAGAAAATGTACTGGTAAAAAGACAGAAGGAAAACAGAAATTTGAATGATGTTGTAAGATACAGAAACAGAAGCATATTTCTAATGTTTGATAGGGACACATCTGTGAATGTTCTCTGAGCCTCAAGAATTTTCAGCCACCTTTTGTATGGAAAACTTTACGAAAAGACCAGTGACATGCATACCAGTTGCAGCCTGTTTAAGGTGTACATGCAAATGATAGTAAACACCGTTTAGATTTTTGTCATTTCATATTGAGTTTCAAGAAAATGCTCTACCATGAGAGTTTGGAGCCACGAAAATCCACATAGAATCAGGTCAAGGAATTTCATTAATAAGTTATGGACAATATTATTAGTCTCTATTTCCTACCTGCAAGATTAACATCATTTCTCGAATTTCCTGAAGCAATGCATGCAGGAATATGGCATAAATTTGATCTTCATTCATGGCAAAATACTTTGTTTTAGCTTGACAGTCTTCCTGATTGAACGTGGCCGATCAGTATCGTGGCCATCCATCCATTCTCCAGATATAACTCCTCTCGATTTTTTTGCTTGGCGTTTTATAAAAAATAAAATTTATTCAACCTCCGTTAACAGACGGAATGAATTAATTGAGAGAATAGAAAATAGAAAACGCCTATAATGAAATACGACGAAATCAATTATTATTTAGCAACCCGTTATAAATCGATGCCGGTTTGTATTCAAGAAAGCAGATATTTTATTTATGATCCCAGTAAGTACGTCACTGGGGAATCTATCGACGTGGAAATTGGTACATCTGTGAAAAGCAGTTCATAAAATAATTCCTTCGAATAAAAAATTATTCTTTCTGTCCATGAACAAGATAATCGAAAAAAAACATTTTTTTTTTAGAAACTTCAACACTCAGTATCTCGAAAACGAAGGAGTTTGACGCATATGTTCATTAAGAATATTAAATGTTTTCTAATTGTAAGTCCTGCTTATTAAAACGGAAACACCCTATATG